AATCACCTTTAGAGTAGTTGGTGTGTTTAAACGGGGCATCCATCTCCAGTCCACCGTGCAGCAGGTTGTACAGGTCTCTTTAAATCTCCAGCTTCCTAAGAACAAGAACATAAAGCCAGTAATGGCCTCAATTATGTTATTAAGGGCCCAGGTGGGGAGAAAACCAGACATTTCCTGATCCTCCAGGGCTGGAGTTGTCAGCATCACCTGTGAGGATGAGGGTTAAGTCACAGAACAGGCAGACAATACTGCATCTGCATGTGTTGTTGCTTAGGGCTTTGGTTTACAATATACTTGCGAGCAGGGCCAGATTCAGTTCGAAAAACACACGGTGTAAAAATGCCACTCTCATGGGCAGTCCTGATCCTGGAATGTCGGCATGTCTGCAGGTTTTTGATTCAATTCACCTCCTAACGAGCTTAATTAGATCATCGTTGACTTAATGGGACCAGTTTCAAGAGCTTCTCCCAGCCCTTCAAGTGCTTCTGCTTTGAGGAGACTAGGAGAATTATTCAAATTCTTCTCCTATGAAGAATTTGAATAAAACATCTGAGGGTATTTACAGTATCGCCCTCCAGTCTCTTTTGGCCTAACCCTGAAGTTGAATGCAGAGGGCAGGATCGCCGACAGTCATTTTCGAGATGTGCTGTTTGACTCCGAAAATGTTAGAGCTGCTGTTTGCCGCATTTATTTTTCAGAAATTGATGTGGGCGGCTTCCCCTGAGATACGTGTTTTTCCAATATTTCCAAGAGTTTTTCCAATATTGTATTCCTGAATCAAAAAGCAAATATAGGAAGACAGCCATGTGAGTGGAAGAAACAGGGCCTCTTCACGCCGACTTGAGCAGCAAAGGCGGGAAACACCGCGATGGCAACCTAAAGAAACAAAATGACACGTAAATTAAAATAAATACTCCAAAAACATATTTCCTTTTTTCCCCCCCCGATTTTAAATACGACATAAATCAAAGAAGAGAACAGAGGAGAATGGCGCGGTAATTAATGAGCGCCCGAGTAATTAACAGTACGTAGTGCAATCTTTGTGGACCGGCACCTGCCCCACTGTCTGCTTTAGGAAGACCTTTGACTGAGGGGAAACTCAACAGGGAGACAAACGTACCTTCGAAAATATTGGCCATTCCCTCCTGTCCCCAGAACCTGCTACCCCACACTCACTGTGCCCCCTTTTTCACGCTGCCAATAAAATGTTAGGAAAGGTTAAAAACGAGAGGACACCTCTGGACCCATCTAGGACGTTTGTAACAATGTAACGAGACGTGTTCTGCGTTGCGTTGAGATAAATTAGCTGGCATGAACTGGTTAAAGGGATTTCCTAGCCCTCCACAGAAATCGGCGGGGAAAAGTCATTGAAGCATACATCACGTGCAATTAAGGTGAAAATAACCCTGAGTGGAAAAACGATAAATTGACGATTGTTTGTTTTGGCCAACGCTACCGGTTAGATCATTATTCCTTTTTTTTTTTTTCCTGTTGGCATATATCACGTTTTATGGTCTTACTGGAAACTAACTGTGCCGTGGCTGGGTGGCTCATAACGTCTTCCTTGTAAGTATTTTCGGAGTAATTAAAGTTGCATGCCTATGTCGTTGGTCTGGCAACAAGACCTTTCCACGGACCTCGGTTTCTCAATTACTTTGAGTTCAGTCTGGAGCTTGAAGCTTGGTACTTGGTACAACGTCAGACTTTCAAGCATAATACTGCCATTTTAAAGTAAGCTGGGCCATCACAGCCTTTGCCAATAGTGCTGTTTATACAGTATAAGTGAGAAAAAATACTTTTTAGTCTCATGCATCCATGCAACGGTGAACATTTTAATGCTAAGCGCCTCACCAAGAGTAACTTCAAACAAATAAGATGAAAGAGAGAAATATTCTATATCATTTTGATCCTCATTCTTAGGTTCTCCTGGTTTACAGTAGCAGTCCCTCGCCCGTCAGGCGGGAGAGGCTGTTGAATTGATCCAGTTTAAACCAAGTATTTCAGTTCGTTAGGAGCCAAGATTAAATGTAGACGCGCAGACAGTCTGATTGTCAAAGACCAGGATTGGACACCTCAGACTGTTTTCTTTTTACATTTTTAAAGCAAC